TTGTAATTCTCGGCCCTGAAAGCCTAGGCGAGCTTTCTTCAAACATTTCGTGGCATTGATACAAACGACAACAAAATAAAAATTTATTGAACTCTGATAAATTATTTTTTAGTTGAGCTCGCCTTCTTCTTCCACGGACCTGTTTATTCTGTTCATTTGATAGTACATCTTGACAATTTTCTTCCAATCAATGACCGTTTCAATACTTCATGAACGCAGTTTATTTAATAAATAAATCTACATGAAAAATAATCACATGAATGAAAAACGCTCAAAAAAAATAGAACAAGAAGAAAAAATTAGTAATTAGTCCTAACACGATTTGCAGAAGGAGGAAAATAAAATAAAAAAAGATGAGTGGATTAGTCGGTTCCCACTCCTGGAAGGTAAACCCTTGAGCCTCGCAAGAGTGTGACATCACATGAACTTACTGACATGTGGGCTGTAGGCGGTAGATTTCTCTCCAAAATGAGCCTGTCAGTACAGTTGAGAGGTGATTTCATCACGATAACAGAGACACCCAAATGCAGAGGAATATGCTACTTTTGATTTCAGTAGAGGTTATAAGAATTGAAATGGATTAAGACCTCCTGCAAAACAGTTTTACAGATTCGAAAACACTCCGACTTTCATAGAAACATAAAACTGCCCAGCAGTACATTCTTTTTTTCTTTTTCCTGTTGGTATTCATGTTTTAAACTAATTTATTTCTTTAATTAAAATAATATTTTCCTGTTTCAGTTATGTGGACCATTCTCGAAAACCGCTTTTTTCTTTTTTGAAGAATGAATTGTTCCGCTCTGAAGTTGAACAGCTTTTTATTCTTCATACTTTATCCATACAAACCCTTAACTTAGCTGGTTTAACAGCATTTAGAGGTCTCGGAACATCTTTAACCCCACGAACGACATAGTAACCTGCTGCATTATGTTTAGGTTTTCCAATCCCATAACTAAATTTGAACATGAGGTACTTTTAGTATGTCAACTATTCTTCTTAATATGACTTATGTCAGAAGAGGTTATGCAATACTGGTATGTTTTCTTAAGACGTATGACTAACCTAGCCTTAAATGGTTTGTTGACGCCCACTGGCATGGAGTAGGACATATACCCTTCGATTATCTGGTTTTTTATCGGACAACGACAATATCCTCCATCTTCGCCCGGATTACCTATTGGCCCAGCCTATACAAAAATGTTCTCATGGGATATTGATGGGAAATATGATTATTAATATTGAGGAGAAACAGAGAAAACAAAATCAGCAGGATATCGACATCTGACATACCTGACCCGCAGCTCCGTCCTGACCTGGTGAGCCAACTTGGCCATCCTGCCCTGCACTACCTGGTGGGCCAGCTGGTCCTCCATTAGAGAGTCCTTCTGATCCGGGAGGACCTGGGTTTCCTAGAAGAAATACCACATGAATGTTTTTGAATAAATTTGGTAACCTGGTGGTCCAGGATCTCCGGGAGGGCCTGGTAGATTAGAAGAGCGCATAGTACTATATCCAGGTTCACCTGTCGGACCGGTTGGTCCATCTAAACCTGCTGGCCCCGGATCCCCAGGTGGACCTGGAGGGCCGAACGCCACGACTAAATCTCTTTATTTCAAAACTGAGCTTTTTAATATACCTTCAGCATCATAGCCTATTTCTGCAAACCCTGGATCTCCATTTAGTCCAGGTAGACCAACTAGACCATCAACACCTGGTGGACCTTCAAAGAGAATTATAAAAATTTAACAGCAGAAAAGATGAGAGAACCTGGAGGGCCAACCGGACAAACAACACAATTACTGGTTGGCTCTGCATAAGGATCATTGTTTTCGGGCTCAAGCATGCCTGTTACACCGTCAGCACCAGGTATTCCATCCACTAGAATAGTCAATTACGAATAAAAATGAAGCGGTTCTCTTACATCCTGGATAACCATCAGGGCCTGGAATACCAGATGGTCCTGGGGGACCAGGCTGTCCACATTGTGGTTTTTGTTTAGGCACAACATCATACGAGTTTATGTGTCTTCTAAACGCAAATATAGAAGTTCATTAAAGAATGACCGTATATCTAACGTTTTCTTCTTTTTATAGGATCGATGATGTCGTGAGGTGGATCGTTTCGTTCTGTAGTTCGTTTCCATGAGAATCTTCCAAACATGATTAACAAGACTCTGAAAACTAATATGGAAACATAAAGATGATAATACATACCTCTAACTCTCGTGATTGTTCATGGAATGAGATTTCGAACTTAGTAATATCTTCGAAAATGACTCCAATACTTGAGATACATGCGATGAGAATGATTGTAGTGATTATCCAAAAACATTTCAAATACTTGGTTTGACAGTGCATCGCTCATTGGATGGTGGACAAAGCGATTGAGCGGTTTTCATCGAGTTCGCTTGAAATCCGTCAATTTTCCACTTGAGAATTTTTAATAATACTTCTACTTGTAATAACTCGTTCCATGCATTGAGTATAATCTTGAGGTAAACTTAAGAGAGGTAAACGCCATAACATTCATTTGTAATGTACAATTGTAAACTATAGGATGACTGTACGAATTCAAGCAATATACCTCGTATCAAAACTGTAAAACGGAGAAAAAGATACGAGTATCGAAAAGCATAAGATGCGGAAAGACTGACCCGAACAAGGCAATTAATGCATAGTACAATATTATGTCAGTAGAGCAAGTAAACAGATAAAAAAATACAAACTCATAGTTTAAGATAATCTGACTACAATTTTATAATTAAAGAATAAGAAAGATGCTAACGTGCAACTGAGCTCAGACATCATAAGCAACGTGAAGTAATAATAGGTTGATGTAACCAAAGCTAGAAAAATGCCTCGATAAACTAAGATCCGCACAAGGTTAGTCAATATTATTCCAAATAGCCACCGTTCATCCCTGTAAACATTCCAGCTAACGGTTCGAAATCACCAGCGGTACAGAGACGAGTCATCATATGTTGAGCGGGAACGGCTTGAATTACAAAAATACGTAACAAAAGTGCAGTATGAAAAACAATACCTATTTTAGGATCACAGCTGTTAACTAAAGAGTCCAAGAACGGTCTATCTGCTAGCCAACGTGAGGCAATAGTCTCATCTAATCCAACCTGCAGATAATAATTCTTCAAAAACTCATTCGAGAAGCAGACAAACCTCATAACAGAACTTTAGAATTGTTCCGCAAAGCTCTACTTCCTGATAGAAATACTTGAGTACATCCATAACAGGGATAGGGTTATTTCTAAAACAAAGGAATTCTGTTAAAACATTCTTCTTTCGTATGAATATTACTTGACTAGTAAAAGTATGTCCTCTCTTGGGCCCAAATTACAATATTTCAAAATTAAGCATAGAAGGTTGAAAGCCCGACTTAACACATCTGGCACAAGTCTTCGTCTTTCTACATCTTTATTCGTAGCGTTTTGTTTCTGAATCAACAATTAACTTTCTTCTAATATTAGAACTCACATTATCAAGAATAGCGAGTTGCTCAGGAGCAGAAGCTATGATTCGGTACAAACATCCTATTAGGTTTTCTTTTCTATAATCATCAAAAACCTGCAATATGTGCAAATAAGGAAGATATCTGGAGAGAAACTAACTTGTTGAAGATAGCCGTCTGAACGGAAGACTGGCATTGTGTCTACTAGTTGATATAACAATCGTAGTACCCTTTTCTGAACGTAAATATCTGCTTGGCATAACTGATTTAGAATCCCACGAAGAGCATTCTGAAATCAAAAAAGTCTGAAAGATCAGAAAATACAAATCTTACATTATTAATAGCAGCATCTCGAAGCTTCACTTGATTAAGGTTTAAAGTCTTCACAGACATCAATGCACTCAAACATAAATCAGCATTATCAGCTAATTCGTTTAATGTGATATACTGTTGAGGTGTCATATCTTTCCTCTCCCTTAAAATATAATGTTGGAAAACTGAATATGGTACTGATAATCACTTGAAGTTTGAAAACCGCATAATAGCGTATACGATTGCTTCGAAGCCATTGAGATCAATTAAAATAAGTTTGTTGGGTGTCCTATTGGCGATGAAATTTCCGATGAATGCAAATGTTTTTTCCCAAAGACTTGGATCGTTGGAAAAACGGGCATCGTTTATTAACATTTGAAGACCTTGCAGAACCTTAACAAAATTTGTATTATACATTAAATTATAATGAAAATCTTACATTGCGGATTATGGCTTGCACAGCATCGGGTGGAAGATGATCAATCGCGGAAGCAAATTCGGAATTCGTGAGGGATGCAAGTAATTCCATAGCGTATTTCATAGCCATGGCAGAGCCAACGCAAACGTAGTGGCTGATAACCTACAATTAAAAACATGGAATGGATCATTCATTCGAAACAAGATACCTGTGGGCCATTGCACTGGAAGATTTGTTGAACAACAGCTACGTTAACTCGATCAGCTTGCTTAGGCTCAACTCGCATGATAACGGAATGAAGAAGTGCTAAGGCTTTTGTATAGCTTGTGCAGATGAATTCCTTGTACTAAAAATAGAATAATAGGAAATGTTGAAATGATTTTCAAATACCTTAGGATCTGCAGCATGGCACATTTGATCCAAAAAACGGAAAAAAATGAGAAAAATTATAGCGACTATTCCTTTCGGTCCGGTATACTGCTGGTTGTTCTGACCCCAAGCAATCAGATAATCCTAAAAAAAGAAAATACTCAAGCTAATTCGCGTCAAGCTCACTTTTGCTTCCTTATTATTATGACACAATAGACGTAGTCCTTCCAACACATACTGATAGCATCCCAAATTCTTTTGATCAACCATCACTAGTTTTTGTATGAACAAGTCAAAAACTTTGGGATTCCGACAAAAAGCGCGCAATTCCACTCCTTCCCGATTCCTCCATTCGATCATATGTATCAACGCTAGGAGAGCACCGTTGTTATATCTAGAAGAAGGAAGTTTTTTCATGTACAAGAAGAACACGTACTGTGCTAATCCAACTAAAATATGAATCATGTCACCAGAAGTAGCTGATAAGGCTTTCTTAACTTCGGTAGAAGGTAGATATTTACATAAGTAAAACATAGCAGATGCTAACTTTTTCGCACACTAAACAATTGAATATGACTTCCGTTGACTGAACTTGAACTACCTCTTCTTGTGGGAGAAGATTCCAATACTTGAACACTTCCGTTATTTTGACTAATAATTGGAAATCAGGTAAAGGACCAATCCCTTTGGTAAGACCTCTGGCGATTTTGAAGGTTTCATTCACAACCTCACCTCTCAAACTCTGAATGAAATCATGAAAACTGTTTTAGAAAAGTACCGTACCTCATTATGATACCATTCTATTAATTGCTGATATGACATATTCTGTGATGGTTGCCTCGGCATTCTCGGGTCTATGTTTTCCACACACGATGCTGTTGATATTTGAGAGCATGGTCGCTGAAAACGCAAACTAGATAATCATTCTGAATACCAGATTTACCAATTCGGTAAATTGAGGTGTGTCTATTGGAGTTCTCATCTCAGATGGACAATGAATACTCATTTGAGATAAATGGTCATCAGGAATGCTCATATGGGACATGGACATGACTGAAGGTGTCACAGATGGAGCCTTTAAAATCATAATAAGGAATGTAAGCAATTAATTAAAAACCGGTGAATATCCATTGTTCATATAATGATTGTTCATCCATTGCATAGTGTGAGAGTTGGCTTGTACCCGAGAAGGAGGTCTTCCATAACCAGAATTACAACCACTGAAACGGACGTATTACTTTTGAAATTTCAAGAGTTCAGGGTGATGAGCTTCACGGTAGGAAACTGACTTGTTTTGTTGTGTTGGGTACTGGGGTGGGCCCTGTTGAGGAACTTGAGGAGGAAGCTGTTGCGAAGCACATGGTTGCATATTATACTGAGATGTTGTGGGCATCTGAAAACCAGAAAATAAAAACAATTTACTTCCTCGGAGAGCTTACAGTATCGTACAAATGTGGCTGGGAAACATCAGCAGGTATCGGCATTGAAGGGTTATAAGGAATACACTGGTTAGGAAGCTCTGCATGTGGCGGGATGCCCATTGCTCCACCTCAAGAAAAGCAAAATTCTAATGTTTGAAGAACTTTAACATACCACATATACAATTGTTGATGTTTCCGCATTGGCATTGCCCAACAGCCGGACGAAAGGTAGCAGAGGATGGCTGTTGTCCGATAATCATCAGTTTAATATCATTCGTTGAAAATGGGCAAAACAATAACTGCAATTAATGAACTCTGTTATTTGAAATCAAAACACCAATGAGTAAATATCGAATGACATAATGAGAGTTATGACCCTTATGAACAATAAATGACACTTAGCACACGGTGGGAGAGTCGAGATATGGTGCCAATGGTACAAGAAGAGGAACAAAAATAACAGAAAAGTTTGAACATGAGATAAATGTTGCACATGAAATGATATCTCAAAAAGTGCTGCTACCGTAACCATCAGGTAGCATTTGAAAATTCAATCTCTGATAAGCTTGAAAAAAGATAAGAAACATATGAACTCATGAGAATAGATAAAACTTGGAAGGTGTGAGAATGAGAAGAATGAAGATACTACAAAAAAGAGGCAAACTGATGGAATATGAGATCCTTCAAATGAAAATTTTGGTATTTTGGAAAAATTTCAAAATTGTTTACTTTATAGCTACTGAATTATCAAATTTGAAACATTAAAATCATTAAAAACACTTAAAAACGAGTTTCCGGTTCAAATTTGTGTATTCGCCATGCAAAGATTCAAATTTTAGCGTCCCCCTCCTAATGACCCTGACAAACAGGCAACGCCTCACTCTGCGTCTCTAAGTAATCAACACTGCCTCGTGTACACTACAGTGTCCTCCTAAGATTTACGCGGAGACGAAGAACAAGGGCAGAGAGACAGATATAGTTGGACGAAAAAATTGACTTTAGACTATTTTTGAATAAAGAATATACTTGGCGAAATGATTTTATCTTTCTGAAGCTGTTCGAAAGAATTATTTAAGTTTAGAATGGAGCAGAGAAATACATATATTAACTTGTTAACCTCATCAAGAACATCTAATACAGTTCATGTTCTACCTCTTTTTCATCTCAGAAAACTTTTCTATGAAATACAATCATTTTTGTCAGTTTGTTGTGACTCTCGGGCAAGTTTACGACAAGTTTATGGACTATGTTCATAACCAGCCTGAAACGTTGAATCAGAAGATGAACTAGAAGAACCCTCCACGACTTTTCGAGTACAGAATATTAGAAAACAAAGGCATTATAGAAACTGTCGATTTGGATGAGAAAAGCTAATTAACCTCGAACAATTACCGTTCATACAATATGAGTATATGCAATATTTATTATGTAAAATCAGTAGCAACAATAACAAGTATAACAAAAAACAAAAAAAAATGGAAAACATAACAAGACTATAACATTAAAATGAGTCACGAGGTTTTTTAGCTTTTCTACCTGCGAGAGGATTTTTCTCATCGGGTACTTGGACTTTAACAGTCTTTCTTTTACTTTTCACTGCGAACGTAGACTGATTTCCAGCAGAGAATTTCATATTTGCATTCTTGTATGCCTGAAAGGTAGAGTCAAGTCAGGTAACACTGTTATGAACCCTTACATTTTCTAACTCAGTTTGGTCCGATGATATCTCATACTGTTGCAAATGTTTGCTCAATTCAACCATGGCAATTTTCTTATCTCTTTCTTGCCGTTCTTGGATTTCAGCTTTCATGTCATCCAGCTCATTCTTGGAATCAATCATAAGCTTGAGACAAACGAAATCTTTACCTTCAGACTTTGCTCGAGTGGTTTGAAAGTAGTTCCGAGTTTTTCAGCAGCTCCTTCTTCGAAGTTGGCGATAGACTTCTTGATAGCATTTTTACAGACTTCATCAATCGCATCAGAAAGCTTCCTTATTGTCTTGTTATGCAAAGCCGAAGCCTTAAAACAATTTTTGTGTTGGGTCTGTATGAACAGTTTACCTGATTGACTGGTAAGTCTAGCTCTTCTGCTAGGTTTTCTATTGACTTATGTTGTAAACCCATGCCTAATAAGATGGCTGCTTGAACAGGACCCAACTTTGTCTGAAAAATGTTGATGATTGACTACATAAAAAGAAAAATAAACCTCTGCAGAAAGCTTCTTGTTGAAGTAAATATGTGCGACAACTGGAAGTAAATCCGTGACCAAGTGAGGATCAATCATATTTCGAGCATATTGAGCAAGTCTCTTCATATCAGTGTTGGACAAGAAAAGCGAAATATCGTGTCTATCCAGTGGTTCATTCTTGTCCTCTGTATCAATATCTTTGTTTCGTGATTGTAACAGAGATATGGCTAATTGACTAGAGAATTTTCGGAACTCATAAGAGTATAAGTTTAGCATACGAGTTCTGAACTCTCTCCAATAGAAAGTAAGCCAGTTCGAAGACTCTTCTGAAAATCGAAACTAAAGTTTTTGTTGTTGTTTCTAATCAGTACCTGGTCTGATGTTTTTAAGAACAATGCAAGTATGCTCTCCTGTCAGATCATTTGCAATTTGTCGCATATAAACTGGAGTGTACGAAGCCTTCTTCCAAAACTTCAGCAAATTCAGCGTCAATCCAAACGAGACCCCTAGTTCAGGAATCAGAATTACTAACTAGTATCAAAAAAACCTAGATAATCCAACTGTTCCGCAGGTCTCTCATCTAAGCGCATTAAAAGTGGTGGTAACCCAGCACGAGGAGCTATCTGCTCTTCGAGAAGTGCTACTACTTCTGCATTTTTCACAATCTTGACTTTTTCTTTCTGCTTATTGAAGGTACGCGTAGACTCGTTGAGTGAAACTATGTTTCCTAAGAAATAATCTTCTAGAAGCCCAAGAGCACGGCTTCCGTAACCCATAGATTGATAATCCGAGTGAACAGCGATTCGAACAATTCTTCCACCAAAGAGAGTTGGGAACTCATCGTCCTGCAAACAAGGGATCATACGACAGTTACTAATAATATCTTACCAAGAATTGCTGAGAGAGTGTCCACGGAAGCAGATCCCCAGCAGCCCGTTTTCCTCTTTCTAATGAAGAGCTAACAGTATCTTTGGATAGATTTCCTTCGAAGCACACTTGAATTACAGCAAGAACATCAGGGATTTCGGTGTCTTCCTCTTTTATAGGAGCCATAAGAACGAACAGGTGATGAGCAGGAGCATCACTGAGCATCTACAAAGCCATATATATATCTAAAACGATCTTGACAAACTCACTTGTAAATCGTTAGGACTGTTCTTGTAATGGGCAGATACATAGATAGACATGATCTGCTGCAAGAAGGCTTCAGAAGCTTTGTGGAATGAAAAGAGTGTATCTCTATTGACATAGAACCTAAAACACGAGGATTAGAAATATGTAAAGGTTTAGTAAATACAGTTCACAGTCAGCAGGAGATGGAGTTCCTGCAGATAAACGTTGCGCACTATTGCATGCATCCAAACACAAAACGCGATTCAGCCATTTTTCAATCTTAATAGAAACTGAATGAGAATCGCGCTATTATCATGTTTACCTCATCTCCAGGCTTGTATCTTATACTCTCTTCCATTGTCATCTCATGCAATTTTCTACCTGAACACAATCACTGTCATGGAAATTTAATTGGTACAAACCTTTGCTCGTGATTCCTTTATCTTTTTTAAGCGCACCGCTTGACTGCTCACGTAATTGCTGAAGCAATTTCAATGAAAGACTTCTACCAGTTCCCTCGTATCCATTAATAGTGGAAGCAAGGAAAACAATATATGGACCTATACGGAACTATGAGGAGTTGCCTGGTTAATCGATCAAACCAGATATCAAGTTTTTCACTAATGGTAAGGGTATAGCAGCAGCTTCGTCGACAACCAAAAGTTCTGCTTGGCCAAGCTTGACAGCATCAGTAGGATGGATGTACTGAACAGAGTATGTATATCAAAATTGAGGCACTTACTTGTATAATTTGCCTATGCTCTTTGAAAATGTTGATTCGGACTAAAGCTTTGTTGAACTCGGGATTTGTAGACTGCACAAGTTCGTAATCTGTGTGCTCCTGATCGTAACTATGTTGAACTATATATTTTTCGCCAATCAAACCTGATATTGTAAAGTGTCAAATCCTTTCACAACGAATTCAAAGAAAGTTCGCAAATTTTCTGGAGAGGGTGACGTAACAAAAATATTAGTATAACCAAAAGCAATGGCTCCAGCGAGAGCAAGACCTTGAAAATAGAAAAAATAAGATTCAAAAATTGGAAATCAAACCTAATGCTGCAGATTTACCACGACCACGAGCAGCCATTACAGAGCAGGTTACATTAAGATCTTTTTCTGTGATGACATCCAGTAAACGAAGGAGGGCTTTTCCTTGACATGCAGTTCTACATTGACCGAGTAATGAGCCAATAGGCTTCGTGTCTTTCAAAGCTTCTTTCATATCATTAAGTTCATGCTCAGCAGCCGTCGTTTTATCCTATCAAAATATTCATCCAGTTATATGTAGAGTAACAAACCTTTTTGAAAGGAAGAGGTTCAACTTTTGAAATATGGCTTGAGATGGGTAAAATATTGAATCCTTCATCCAAAACAGCTATGCTATTACTACTCGCAAGAGACAAAATAAATCTTTCGTTGAATCTAGGAGTAATATCAGTATGGGCTTCCGTCCTATAACGATTGTGCACATCCTGAACGAGCTAAAGTTGCAGAGCTGATTAGAAAATTGTAACCATTGAAAGAGTGTATAATTGTCTGAGAGAAGAGACACTTTTGAGAAGTAGAACAATTACTCCGCCACCTTCTATCGTTTCAATTGTACGCGCAAGAAGATTTGGAGTTAAGGCTTCGAAATCTTGTAACACAAGCATGCCATACGTATTACCGAGAATTTTGTGTGTCTCTTTATAATAACAATATCGAACATTGGTAGAAGCGATAAATGATTCGAAATGATCCTCAGCCTGAAAATCACTCATAATATGTAAGATTTTCAACGAGCTCGACTTACATTGACCATTGAACTTCCGATAGCCTGTTTTCTCTTCAAATCATGCATTCTCTTCTTACGACTACATGAGAACTCCAACTTCGATTTATAGCACCACAAAACGCTTGGTCGCGCCTTTACATGTGCCTTGGAGAGAATATGATGGAGGATAGGAATCTTAATATGGAGATGGAATGTATTGGCACACTCTAACTCGAACCTGATTCTTTACATGCTCTCCTACAATCGCAAAAAAAGTTCTGTGACCAGTTTGGACACCATTCTCAATGAGCGTTCTTATGCGATTGTCCAACTTCTGCCTCATCTATAACAGAAACCACTTAATTCAGATAACTCGGTATAAAACAAGAAGTTTAGGAATACAAATAAATTAGAATATACGCAGAAATTTGCAATTTACAAATATTGTACGCAATGTACGCAACACTTCCTCGGTAATCTGTGACAACCTCTGAAATAATTCTTAAAACCTCGATATTCTCTTGTAATCAAAACCTTCCAACAATTTCACATAATTATGATTGTAAAAATATTTATTACCTATAAAACATACAAACTAGACATTAGGCTCATTTGAAGAACTTATTATAAAAACATTAATTACGTTTATTTTATCTTAAATTAGAACACAACATCGTGCAACAAGGAAACAATAAATTAGGTAATCATATTACTACGACTTCAAATAACTGCTATCCGCAGGGTGATAAGTCCCGGAATTTCAGAAGTTATTAAAACACGTAAAGTATAAAAGAATCTATACACCAATAAATCAGGAAAACCCATAATCCTGCTAGATTGAAACGGCGTGGAGAACTTATTCGGCCTTCTTGGCTTTGCGGGTCTTGGGTGATACTGGCTTGGGTGATTTCTTGTCGGTTTGCTTGATAAGATCTCTTGGAATCCATTCATAATCAACTTCGGAGCTGCTCTTGGTTCCCTGTTCCACAACGCGTCTCTTTTGGAGACCAGTCTTTCTTGAGAGCTGAAAGAGAGCACATGTTAATCGGCAGAGTAGCTGTAAAAATACTTTGTTCAAGTAGTGTTGTCCAACAAGGAGAAGTCCAACAGCGATTCCAGCGAAGAGAAGGTAGAGGAATCCTGTCTCAGTGTTGAATCCAGAGTCATCTTCTAAGACATTGACGGTTTGGTTGAAGACATTGTTGATGAAGTATTTTCCTTCCTGAATATGTATGATCACTTCCCGTATGGAAGTTTGGAAAACTCACGGCGTCTTCATAATGTACATTGACAACAAGTCCGAGTGGTCGTCCAGCGAAAGAATCATGGGCGAAGAAAACGTAATCAAGGGTAACTTCCTCCTTGGGAGCAACACGACGGTTGTATTGTCCAGCGGTGAACTAAAAATATGATCCACATGGTCATAGAATTGAAAACTTGAATGATTACATTTTGAATGTAGTAGTTGTAGTCGAGAGCATAACGGAAAGAGGTTTCAGAGTGCTTAACGATGAAGTCCTTCTCTCCCTTATTTCTGAATCCAATCAAGAATTTAACGTACTTTCCTCCGTAAAGTTCTAAAGAGAAAGAGTAATAAATACAGCATGACTATCGTCGCACCTTTGACAGTGTTAGCATCTTCTGGTTGGGTGAAAACAAATGAGACTGTGGCATCTGGGGAAGATCCAACTCCCTCGAAATCTTCCTTGGTAGCTTCATCATTAATTTCTCCATCAACAACATCTTCAGCGAAAACTCCTGAAATATAATTTGTTTTGTATAAAAGTAGTCATCCTTTACCTGAGAGGAGAAGGCATCCGAGGAGTGCAAACAAAACTTTACCACGCATAATTTACCTGTAATACATAGGTTTATTTCGTTAATGAGAGAAGAAATTTTTGAATTAGATTTGCATAAAGAAGACAACATTCAAGCTAGAGAGAAAGAGAATTTGCAGACTGATGCTGGGTAATGGCTAATATAAAGTACAACTCTAATCGGCCACTATAAGACTTGACTGTGGAAAATAGCCAAGCCCGAGAGAGAACCGTAGACAATTTTTGCATCCGCACTACAAACATTCGTCGCAGGACCTTTATTTTAACACCCTTTATGACCATACCGAGGTCGCTTAGATAAGCGAGGCCAGGTTAGATAGAACGAAGATAATCGAAGTGTATAGATGGGTATATTGATTAATCTGTTTTGAATATATCCCAATGGGAAAAAATATATATATTGTATTCATTCATCGATTTTTGTGAAATAGGAGATTTATTTTGCAATAGAACTGATGTCATTTCAAGTTATCATAAGCATATTTGATTTCTTCCGTTGTCAAAAGTAAAGTAATGACGACTTCTTCATCTCTTCTTTGGAATAACATTTCTCCTTCAAAATCCACCATATTGTGTTTCCGAGCACGCAACAACATACCAACGACCTTTAATTGAGCATGATTGAAGGGAATGCGAAGAGTCTTACTTTATCAGAAATGAATTGATAAACATTAAATAGTCTTCCGAATGTGATTTGAACTTTTCCTGTTCGCTTTGATACATACCCGTATTCCTGCATGACTTCACAAAGATAAAGCATTTCTCGTGCAATGTGTTTAGCTGGAAGAAGATACTGTTTTTGTTTTGAAACACAAACCAACAGGCTTTTTGAGCTCGCTTCTCCGTTAAAGTTCCTGGCTTTGGTGTTCCATACTCTGCCGATCCTTTTTGATATTTTTTTGGAGTAAAATTTTTTGAATAAACATCGTCCTTGCGTCCATCCTCCTCTTGCTTCTCCATTTCTCGGAATTTAAGCATTACACGACCAATATCAGATGCTAAAACAGAAGGGTTAAAGGTTGAAAGTTCAAAATGTAAGATATTTCAAAAGCATTAACGTAGAAGAATGGCTTACCTAAACTCATGGTGATGATGTATGATGAGAAGGTGAGGTGCGAATGAGAGAGAAATGAACAAATAATATAAAAGTTTATGAAGAAAGATAAGTTGATTTCTTGAAATTTCTTCGGATTCTCCTCTCTTCATTTCTCAAAAGAGGATTTCTACTCATATTTTTACTTTTCTTTCTATTCAAAACTAGTTTAGTGAATTTATTGAGATATTTTTGTAATATTTTTTGTTATTTCGCCGAGTCAACATCGGCTTTCCTTCAGTTCTTGTGCAGAAGTTAATAGAAAAAGGTAAAGATATTCATGAAATTCTTGGCAAGTTTAGTATATGGAAGGATTATAGTTTAACTATTAAAGGATCAGCCTGTAATGGCTCTTGAGCTCGATTCCATTGATAATGGCCACGATCACTGCGGATTATATGATAATTCACGTCCACAGAAGCTCAAAACGTTCATATTATATGTAAAGACATGCAATTAGAGTGCTTTTGAAAAGAGAAAAATCTAAGAACTTACTGGATTTCGAAAGCTTCTCTGCTGAAACTGTTGTTTGAACGTGATCATCCAACAAATCCGACGAGGAACTCTTTAAATTATGAAACAAGTACCAAAGAAAAAAAAAAGGGAGAACTTGAAAACCTTTAATAATCCCTTATCTCCTATCTTTTTTTCCTTTAGCTGGTGCTTCTTCTGAAGACTTCGCCACGATTTCTCTACTTCATCAGTGAATCCTATGATTGGTTTGTGGTTTTTAACTGAAATCAACAAGTATCTTATTCATTTGAAAAAGAAAGTCTCACCAGAAGCTATAGTGACAGTTATCGTAACAACATCTGGTTTACTTCTCCACTTTCTTACTAACATAACTTAAAGAAATCATCTAATGCTATATGTAATTGACGTTGAGAGAGCTTAGAAGTCGTATAATACTGAACAGAGGGAAGAGAGCATTTCACGTATCCTCACGTGAACATTTTCATTTTCATTCGTCAAAACATTGGGAATGGCTGCAATCAACTATGTTCGCTTCATACCACAAGATCAAGTAAGCATTTCCACAAGGAATTGAATGATAATAATTAGAAACAAAAAGGTTTTTTTCACTCCAACTGAACATCGCCAGTCAATTGATTTGATTATGGAAAATGTCTTTGATCGTGCAGTTACATTCAAAATGAAATCTACTAGACCCGGCTTGTATAGAATGAGGCCTGTGTATGGAATTATACCTCCCGGAGAAGCTGTACCGTTCTTCATGAATTTGTGTCATTAATGAGTTATCAAATGTTCAGGGCAGAGTTACATTAACTTTCAAAGGATTGAAAAAGGGTCAAACGCCTCCGCTCAAGGATAGGCAATAGAAAGCTGCTGTTTGAACGCTCAAACAGTCTAATTTCAGATTTTCAATCGTTCTGGCTGTAGTAGAAAATAATTTGAACAAGGCCGAGAAATTATGGAGAGATCATCAACTTCTAACGGTAGATCAAACAAGGAAGAAAAGATCCAAAAAGATCTTATGATCTTAGGAAATGGCAGAGAATGCAACGATGGGAAAGAAATATCTTTCGGTTATGTTTTATGGATTTAGCGATGTCAACTCAACAAGCTCTCTGGCTGAGATAATTCCATTGAACTTGGACGAAGGAAAGGTGAAGCTGTTAATGAGAGAGAGCGAAATGAATATAATATAAACAAAAAAATAATTAAAATTGCAGTGTCCCCCCATAGTCATAATGTATCGTCCGCAATGTGATTCTTCGAACGACGACGAGGAATGTGATTCTTAAATATTACTTTTATTATTTAATATTATGAGCCTGAACAATGAAAATGAAAGCATTTCAAAAGAATTTGTTCGAAAAGATAAGTTGGCGTTGAAAATCTAGATTTCTATCTTTCTCTCACAATTCTTTTTTTTTCTTTTCGTTCTGTATGAGTTTAGGACGACTGTTTACTTGGCACTCTGTTCTGTCATCAAATAATTTTTTGAAAAGAAATGAATGTTTTAAGTAACAAAACGTTTGTAAAACTTTGTAAAAGAAGAGAGAGAGAGAGAGAGATAGAGAGAGAGATGAAGAGAATGAAAAACAACCGTTCATCAATCGCAAAGCAAATGTAAATGAAAAGAAATGCTAATTTCCTTTATTCAAATGAGAATCAGATGTTAATGAAACATATGTTTTTGGTTTTTCGATTAAAAAACCTATTGAAATATGAAAAAAAAAAGAAAAAGGTTCTTCTGATCATCTTTGCTCTCCTCTTAGCCTCAGTATGTAATGAAGTCTCTATGCACACGAAAATTGACCTTTTGATTTTGGTTGGTGGAATAACGAGATTTGAACTTCAGAGTTCTATATCCTCATGTATCGATATCTCAAACTACATAAGAGAGATGTAACTATACTAACTATGAAGAAAGTATTGATACTCCCACTACTTTCAACACAATTCTTCTGAATCTTTAGAATTGAATGCTCAACAGATAGCCTCTGTTCCAAAGTTCAAACTATAACTGGGATAATAGTGAGCTATTTTTACCAAATAAGTCGTCTTTGATTATTCATTTCACGTGAATGAATGAGTTTGTGTAGTTTGAACTGTTTAATCTCATCTTGTTCTTTATACTTTCAATTCAAAATACAAGAGAGAGAGAGAGAGAGAGAGAGAGAGAGAGTAAGAGAGAGAGTAAGAGAGAGGGATTGAATGTGACAGAGTGAATACGCACGGAAAACTGGCAAGCCTCTACAGTATGATATTAGAAAAAAAAAGATTTATTTAAATGATAAAAACGTTCTAAATAATAATCTATACTAGAAAATATGATTTTCCATATAAAAATATAAATTAGGAATAAATGATTTGTACAGCCAAGTGAGATTACGAATGAGATCTTTAAGTAAATAAATCCACCAAAGGTTTTCTTTCAAACCTGCGTTAAGGTGTTTATTGGGTCCAGTAAGGTGCTATCGATAATCTGTTGAGCGTCGGTTGTCATTGAAAGATTAGGATAAGGACGAGAGATTGTTCGAAGACGCTAAAAACAGTTTATACTTGGTTTTGACGTGAATAAGCTTTACCTCAACAAATGATCCTTTTGTTCTCAGAAAGATGTAGAAACCAACTATGGGAACACTGCATATCGAAGTTAACCGGAAGAACCTTAAATAGAAATTGCGTTCAATGCTGTTTGAATTCTTTTTTTACCATCCCAGAGACACACTCCATCCTGGGAACTGACGATTCATGATTTCCATTGGAGTAAAGGAAGCTTGCCAAACAGTTACCAGGAAAATTGACTGAATAGTTAATGATGAATATGATTAAAGGAATCATTAGCAAACCATAATGAAAAATGGACTCAGTAGCCAACAAACCCTCCAATACAATCCTGGATATATTCCCAGCATTGTTCTATAAGTCAGAGAATGTAGATGGATAACTAATGCCTACTCACTTGATATCCATGCAGAATCGGTCAACACCATAGAACCAACAAACGGCAATCATTTCACATGTAACCATAAATAGAACAGATAAAGAAACACCATATTCATCCAAGAACGGAATCACATATGATCCACCCTGCAAAACGTTTTTCATTTTTCTACACATTCTGTTTTAAATTTATTTACATAACTAATGGCTGGCAAACTTCCGAAGAAATAAACTATACACACGACAGCCACAAATCCTTTACGATTTTTCGTTAAAAATCTTGACTCATCGCATAATCCCGTTATCAAAGCTTCTATTCCAGCAAACTATAATATGAATATGCTATCTTCTAAATATAAGACATTATGATCTTACGGTACTATCAATTCCAAGTGTTATAAGCATAAGGAAGAAGATGAATGACCAAGCACTGCTATATTCCATAGTTGCCAATGCTTGCGGATAAACGATGAAAATCAGAGAAGCGTCATGATCTCCAATAACCTAGTCATTTTTGAATTTTTGTTGAGGAAAAATATTTTTCACTTCCTACTTCATCTACTTCCTTATTCGTTAACACGGCCATGTATCCGAGGGTGGAAAATATAACAAATCCAGAGAAGAAGGAAGTCAAACAGTTAATCGAAGTTGTCACAATGGCATCTCTTTAAAAGAAAAAAGTATAATTGACATATTGTATATATTAATCACCGATAACAATTATTGTTGAAGTCATTGTAACTACTCAACGCTAACAAAACACCGAAGCCTGGCCCAAGAGAGAAAAAGATTTGAGTCGCAGCAGCTGACCAGACCTGAAGACAGCAGTTTAAACCAAAAAAAGAATTAAAATAAGGAACACCTGAGGTTCATATAGCTTATCGAAGTTAGGTGTCAGATAATAGTAGATTCCTTTTGAAGCTCCAGGTAAGGTTATTCCTCGAATCAACAAAATGGTCAAAACAACATAAGGAGCAGTGGCTGTAACCCAGACAGTCTTAAGATACAAAACTAAATTGATTTGAAAAAATGTTTTATTTGAACTTTTCCTGCTGATTTAGGGCCTTTCCACAAGGTGAAATAGACCATGACGAAAACCAGTGCCAAACAAGCAGCCATTGATAGCTTCACTCCTCCAAGATCATGAAGTCCATTCGAGTTTTGTAGTTCCAATACTTTGTTACTGAAAGATGAGCGATGGAAACGAAATGACTGTCAATATGAGTTACTTGTAGAACTCTTCACTGGGTGTTCTCAACTTTGTGCCATTTTTACTAACAGAGATGGCTAAATCACTTGAACAATCGGGGCTATTCCATGAGTTATTACATGTCTTCCAAGGAACTTCAAGCTTCAAGTAATTACAAGTTTATAAAAGAAATTCTTTAAAACAACTTACTGCAATTGAGCTGAAAGTGAAATATACAGCTTGAGCTATTATAGCATTATAGAAACAAGCTATGAACGTACAAATAAAGCATATTCCATATCCTATTCCTAGAAGAAACTATTCTTCTATCTCTCCATGTTAAAACAAAAACCTTTGAACATGGGGCATATTTTTCTCCAAATGCTTACACAACCTGCTCGATGATATTGACCTAACGCCAGTTCCATATAAAACATGGGCAAACCGCCAATAATTAACATGACCAAGTACGGTATGAGAAATGCTCCTTAATCATGTTACGTACGAAAAGAAAATTCATTTATTTATATAATAAACCTCCTCCATGTTTATAACATACAGATGGAAATCTCCAGACATTTCCTAAATCAACCGCATATCCGATAACGGCTAAGAGAAATTCCATTTTCGTAGCCCATCGATCACGAACCACCGAAGATCGACGACGTAATGCAGCTACACGAGATTCAACTTTCGTTGGGGATAAACCTAACATCAACATTTTTTTATTATAAAAAAATCCATTATCAACAAAGAACCAGTGATCGGCTCGATGCTATCCGATTCTGAAATGCCCAATTGATTTGGTTTTTGCAGTAACGGCCTTGTAGTGAATTCAGCACTCCCAACACTGTTTGATGGCTTCAACCCTTCAATATCATTATTTTGATCAAAATACATATCAAAAGTAATTACGACGCGAAGTAGTTGGTCTGATAGGCGAACCATCTTCATCCATAATAGTTCCATAGCCTGGATCCATGCTAGGTGGAACTAAGAATCCGTTTGAAGTTTGAACTGAAAATTTCCATAAAAGGATCATAAATCATAGAAAATCAATCAATTTTCACATTCTTTTTGTTCAAAACAATTATCACACAGAAATAAATGGAAGAATATAACTAAAAAAAACGTTTTTTCTTAAAAAGATTTTTAAGCTCAAAGAGAGTGTGAGGCTGAGCAAGCTTGAACTAACAAGTTATTCAAAATGAAATAGCTATCGCTTCTACATATTCTTATTTGTTTCTCATTTAAGCTCTTGTTAGAATATGGAAACTATCATATATTTTATTAATATAAGATGTGGATAAGACGAAGAAAAAACGTTCTCAATGTTTCATTTTATATAAAATAATATATAATAGAAGAGTATAAGATTGTATCTGTAAGGATGAAGCTCGGACGATGTGTGTCTCCTTCTGTCGGTGCCTCATCCATCTGATAGACAACCCGAAGGAAACGGTCGGAAAATTTATTTGAAAATACGAAAATCATTTAAGAAAACTAAGAGCCATTCCATTTGTTTTCATAAAACTGTTCTTGGCCTGTGGGAAGAGAAAGAGAGAGAGAGGAAGGGGGGGGGGGGTTTAAGAATACGAAGACATTCGTTATATGCTCTTCTTCAAGCTGACAAATATGGAAGGTACATCATCAATAAAAGCAACCTTTCGCATTGTTTTTTATTGAAAGACATTCGTCACTGGGAAACCACTTTATATAGCATCTTCAGCTAGTTTAATTCAAATATAATATGAGAGAATAACATTGGAAACAAGAGATCTTTATGATAGTTTTGTAATTCATTATTTGAATGATGAAAAAAACATTACCTAAATCATATATATAACGCCACATGCTCTCATCCACAAAGTACTAATGAAGTTCAAACTCTCAATAAACTATTCTGTTGAGATTTGAAGAAGGCTGGGAAAAGCTCTTCTAATCTCATCTCTCGTTGTTTTATATTTTATAAGAAGAATAGCAAGAGAGAGAGAGAGCATTGACAGTCATGTACATACATACAACACACACGTGCACCATACTACACACGTGCATATCATACACACACACACACACACACACACACACACATACATACAAGACAAGAGACATACGTTACCTGATAAAGCTCTTTGCTTTCTTCGAACAGATGACCAACGAAGCATTTCTTTTTTTGTTTTTTTTTAAAAGAAGAAGAAGAAGAAACTGAAAATGGACTAAAGAAAAGTATTAGAAGAAGCATTTAATGATTATAAGATGTTAATAACTATAAATAGAATAGAAGTATGATGAAATTGATTTGTAAGTAGATCAAAGTTCATTATAATTTAAGATTTTATCAATAAGTTTCCAGTTTAAGTTAAGGTAAATAAAACATTATCTTCTCCCACTCGCATTTGCATATTTGAGTTTTAAATAAAAGCGTAAAACTTAATTATTCAGTTGGTTAATAAAAAAAGGATGAATTTCTCATGCTTTTCTACAGATTTTCTCAAATAAGACGTTAATTGAAAGCTGAAAATCATGCGAATTATTGAACTTAATTATTACTTTTTCCTCCTTTTTATCAAGATATCCTTTCTCTATTACATATTCTATTTCTTTTTTTTTTTATTTTTGTTTTTGAACATTTGAAAGATTTTTTTATTTTTCATAACTTATGTGTTAACAAATTCATCTTATTCAATGACAAAATATCATCATGATATCATTAGAAGAAGTATACTAACTTTCATTCTTATATATCTATTTTCAATGAGAGCGGTTGTGCTGTTCATTTTTTATAACATTATTGCATAGTTAGCGGTTGTGCACGTGCAAATTGAACTGATGACTAAAAGTTCAATTGCAGTATGTGAGGGAGGGAAACATACAGGTGAAGAAGTGGATTGAATGAACGATCAGAAATGAGTTAAATGATTAAATATTACAACGATTCTGAAGTATTAATAGATCTACATTTTTGATTCAAATAAAAAAAAAAAGATTTGAAAACTTAGTGAAAAGCTTGTAATGTATTCGAATAAAGCTGGAGAAGTGATGGAGAGAAGGCGGTATATATTCCAAATGAATATGTCATGGAATTTCTGATTATCAACTTCTATCGTCGTCGTCAAGTTTTGCAATAGAACGAGAGAAATGAAACGACCAAATTCATGGGAATCTGAAGTCGAGGATGATGACGAGAGGGTAGGTGGATGCTGAAGTTAGAGGAATGGAGACAAATTAAGCTTTGACAATTGAAATAAAGATGAAAAGAATATGGAAACTTCTATTTTAAGATTATTCCGAGAATCTTGATGCTTTCAAATTCCATTTATGGAGCATCATTATGGCTTTTTCATATCTTTCAACAGTACGCATTTAGTGATTTTTCAATGATATTCACTCGTGACAATTAATGAAGCTTCACTTCGCAACAGCACTTTGTGTGAAAGACAACGTTTTTTTCCTCACGAAAAGATTTTTTTTCTTCTTCCTTGATTTTTGCGTAGGTTGGAGTCAAAGCAACATCGTGGGAACTTTCGGATTCTCTGGACAATCCGGAAAAGGAAAAAGGGCTTTTTGTTTATGTTTCTGCTCTCTGACACAGTTCGTCCAAAGTTTGCCTGTTAAACTGCAGTGCAAGGTTAAGAAAACACTATTTTTCTCAATTAACTTTCTTGAAAAGATAAAACTATGTGAGAGATTTTGTTACACAAAGTCATGGATAGTCTTATATATCAATCATGCACGTCACTCCCAATGAGCTGATAATGGGATACAGAAGGTCACCCAAGTACAAATAGTTTGTACGAATGGTCTTAGATCTGAACATAAAAAACAAAAACATTCTCAATTTATTGAATGTTTAAGATCGAACAATAACTTCCCATGTGAGGTCAAGAGAAACAGGACAAAAAGGGTTCGATTTGTACAAATACGGTAAGCTGGCTGGAATTCATGTAATGCGAATATATGGCAGAGCACGCTACATGAGATATTAGAATTCTAGAAAAGTATAACAATCAACAAACTGTGATCAAAATAATTTCTCGTAAGATGCACAAGAGAATCTTCCGGAAAGGATGAGGAACACATGAGATACCAAGCATTTGCTTTTCGAAATGAGTGATATCCTCAAGAATTGCACGAATGTCATTCAGAATCACATCAGATCAATAAATACTATTACTCCTATGGAGAGAGAAATAAACAAAAATAACGGAAGTCAAATGGAATGGTAAGCCAAAACGCAAAGAGATCATTATGACTTTCAGGCAATAGTTGGCTGTGTGGAAGAATCCACGAGAGTACGGACATCTGTCTGAACGGCAACCTCATGAGGAACGTCCTGGAAGGAAAATCATAAACATCATAATCCGCGACAGAATAGAAAAAAAGAAAAACCATATGGTTTGATTAAAACAATCTCAACTAACTTCTTCCTCTTCTTCATCTGCCTCATTTTCTTCAATGGTGTTAACAGCTTCACCTTCCACAATTGTTGATTCAGTCCCTCGAGGCTTACGAGCTCTTTTCTTGCCTGTATTATTACCAGATTGATTAAAAGGTTTGTTCAAGTACAATTACCTAATAGACCATCAGCAGCCATAACTCTGTACGACAGAACCGAGTTAGTAGAGAAGAGAGAGAGAATGACGATGAAAGTAATGATACCTACATACCACTTCATAGCTGACACATTGGTGAACTTAAAAGATAAAGATAAGTTTACTAATTCAATTCTCATCTCACCGCCCAATAAAGAAGATAAATAGAGACTCCCAAGCGGAACAGTACTAAAGTAACCATGTTGAGAAGAGCGATAATACGGAAAGAAGTAGACTTCTTGTTCATTCCATATCTGGAAACAAAAACTAGAAAATATACATTCAAGTAAGAACTCACAAATTCAGCAAACTGCGAGAATGAAGGAAAATTGAATTCAGCTCCATCAACAAACCGAATATAACAACTCCGAGATATTTTTCAGTTATCTTAATTGATAAAATGAAAAAAGTTACTTCATCCTTAACCTACCAGGGTTGTAGTGAATCCTGACAAAACAATGAAGTGATGGAAGAGCAGCTCCATAATACGAGCACTCTGCTCGTTCACGAGAAGATCAACAAGATCGTGGAGAAGATAACCTCCAGATAGGAAAAGCTACAACAAGATAAAACTACCATTTTGTAAATTTAGCTTATTTACCAAATTGACTGCCAATTCACAACGATAACCGATCATATCTTCTGTCAGCTTCTGATAATAGAGAAGAGCATAGGCGGCCCATAATCCACTGATGACCGAGTGAAGGAGAGACACAACCTCATTAGAGATACGCCATTTTTTATTAGGAGGAACAGCCTTAACAAAAATAATAACTAACTTTATGACAACGAAACAAACAGTTAGTTCCCGACTGTCTGTATTTCTGTTGCGGCCTCTCAGACCGAAATATGAAAATGTTCGGAAGGTACACTTGCCGAACAAATACCATCTCACGCAGAACTGTATTAATCGAAAAGATACAAAGGACAAAACGACCTAGAAACATTTCATTTAGAGAAGTAATGCACTGAGAAAGAGATACCCAGAAGCAACCCAGTGCGAAAGACTTCCACTGAGTTTCATTCCAGTCAGTGAACATCTTGGCAGAGTTCTTACGGAGCTGCCCTTAAGAAATCCGGATTACAAAAATTGAAGAGCAAGGAACCAAGAGAAACGAAAGTCAGTAACATAGTAAAAGATCAAATTCACCATCGAAGATGATGAGTAAGAATTGGGGCGGGGAAAGAACAACAGTTGTTGTTCTCTTACAAATTTTAAATGACGTAATGCATTCTTGAGCAGAGATAGAGTTATGTGAAACACCTTTAAGCAACAAAAAACAAAGAACTTCTTAAGACTATGCTGTCTTCTGATGAAAATAACACTGATTAAACAATTAGAGGAAACATAATTCTTATATTCCTTAAAAGACAGAGCTTATCAGTGGAAAAACAAAAAAGATAAGAACAGAACAAATGGGAAGAACTTGAATTCGAGTCGGAAAAAATAGAGAACTGAATCCAAACTCAATGAGGAAAAGCAGTTACTTCTGAAAAATAAAAGCGACTTTCCATTAAGGGAAATCAATAAAATAGGGAACGTTATTACTTTTCGCAACAAAAGGAAGTTCTTTTTCCGTAATTAGCCGCATTGAATCATCAACGGATTGATGAAAAGGAGAGATATAACAATATGGAAATAGATAGTATATTACGAGATCAATCCGCTACCGCTGCAATATATGGATGCCGAGGCTGGTTTTGGTCCCGACAAGAAAATCCTGTTCGCCAGCATGAGCAATGGTGTGCAGTTCACTGTTAACGTCATAACTTCAGATGCATGTTATATTAAGTCTTTTAATTTAATTATTCATAAAACGTTACTTAGCTCTAATTTTGTAGGTAAGATGGCCAGAGCATCATTTGAATATGATGAAGTTGGAAATACTTTTTATTATGTGTTGGTTTCCTTTTATGCCTTAATTCTTGTCCCTGTAACCTATTTCCTGTTCCCCACTGGAAAGGAAGGTAAGCTACGGTTTATCAGAACAATTAATTGCAACGTTTTGTTAAGAAGAAACCAAAGTTGATGAAAGAGAGTGCCAATGTTATGGTTGCGTAGATAAATTGAAGGTTAAAGAAGCTAATAAGCCATGGAGGAGAACAAAAAAATTTTTGCGCATTGGGGTATGTTTTCAAAATAATTATTGTTAACAGTTCCAAAATTTAGTTTCTTGTTCTTGCGTGGTTGATTTTCGCTCTTATCGTTAAGAAAGTCTCAGAAATTGAAGTTGTTAGTGAAGAATACGACCCTTATACTATTCTTGGATTAGATCAGGTACGAAAGAAACGAAGCAATCAATTTAATCCGTCACTTAAGGGAGCTCCAACAGCCAAAGTTAAGAAGGCTTACCATGAACTTTCCAAAAAAATGCATCCTGATCGTGGTGGAGACTCTGTTATGTTCGATAAAATCGCGAAGGCTTATCAGGTTATTATTTTGTTTGTTATTTTTGTTATATAAGGGGGGTTCTCTAGGCTTTAACCGACAATGAGTCGAAAGAAAACTGGGAGAAGTACGGAAACCCCGATGGTCCTACAGGTATATCATATCTCTAAAACAGTATCTACTATAAAACTCTGATTTAGCTACAACATTCGGAATTGCTCTTCCTAAATGGCTTGTTAGTAAGGAGTACGGTGTTTGGGTACTCGCCTTCTACGGACTCATTTTTATGATTATACTACCTGTTGTCGTTGTATGTTTTTTATATATTATATCTAGTATGCAATTTTCTGTCAGGGTATATGGTGGTATAACTCCATCAAGTTTAACGCCGACAAAGTGTTAATGGATACAACTCAACTTTTCTATTATTTCCTTCACAAGACACCAAAGATGGAAATTAACCGTAATCAATGAGTTTGTTTCGTTCATAATTTTCTCCATTTAAGGTATGATCATGGTTCTCTCTGGATCGTTTGAATTTTGGAGACAATACAACAAGGAAATCGTCGAAAGAGAAACCGATGATGTGGAGTTACCAAGGTGATCACAACATTTCTCTATTAATTATAAACGTTGAGTTCTAGATTAATGAGACAGTTACCTGCTCTGGGAGAGAATAAGAAAGAAAGACCACTTTGCCTGGCATATGCTTTGAAAGCCAGAATATTGATCCACTGTCATCTTTCCCGTATTCCCTTGGATTCAGCTTTCTTGCAAGTTGATCAACGGTATGAAAGTCTAGCAATAATCCATTAATACGTTCTCTTCTAGATATGTCTTAGCTCGAGTCATTCGTCTCATCGAAGAAATGATTAGTATGTCCCAACAAATCACCTTCTACACACAGGTTCTATCATTTTCACTTGTTTATTTGATAACTTTTTTTCTACAGACAAAAATCACTTTGGAAACTATGGAAAATCTGATGAAGCTTCAGCCAATGTTCGTTCAAGGACTTTGGCCTAAGAACAGTCCTCTTCTCCAACTCCCTCATCTCACCGAGTTCAACTTGAATCATCTACGAAAGGTTTCATCTTTTTCAGTCTTATTATGAACCTCGGTTTTTAAGCAAAAAGTCTACCTATGCAGCGATCTAGCCGCTATGGAATCTGAAAAGAGACGGGCTGCTTTGAAGGTATTGTCGGATGCCCAGTATAGAGATGTTCTCGTTGTGTTGACATCAATGCCTCGTCTGTCCATTGATACAACTGTTGTTGGTATGTTCTATTCAAATATTTTTCTATTCTCTCTTAAAAAATTACTTTTTTCAGTTGAAGGGGAAGATGACTCTCATGAAATAACCGCTGGATGTTATGTCACGTTGCAAGTTAAATTGACTCGTTCAAGTCTCTTGGATCCTAGAGCTGCTAACTTAGAAGATCAGAGAATGAAAAATGAGTTTGAAGATGATTCAGACAAGTCTGATTCTGAAAACGAAGACAAGGTTAATGACTTTGAAGAAATTCCCGAGCCAGAAGAGAAGAAGGTATGATATGAGGGTAGAAAAAATTGCAACTGTCAGCTTCAGAACAAGCGTAAGCCATGGGAGAAAGTGAGACATCAGAAAAAGAAGGGAACTTCCAAGAAGAAGAAGCAGCAAGCTAAGAAAGCTGCCTCTGCTTCTGCTGCTGGCACTTCTGATCCAGCTAAGCCCGAAAATGATGATGAGGAGCGGGAAAATATAGATGAGGAAGAATCTGTTACTTGTTCGGATGAAGAAAGTAGTAGAGGCGATGGAAGTGATGTTGAAGAGGCCGACTGGGAGCCTGCTAACAAGAAGGTATTCCTTTTGAACAAATTTCGTTCTGTTCATACTATTATAGAATGTGTTTGAAACAAAATCTCACAAGACTCATACAGTGCATTGTCCATATTATCCAGGAGAAAAATATGAGTGGTGGTACGTTTGAGTAATAGTGTATAGTTCTTAGTATTCATTCTCAGGTGGGTTACTTTATCGATGGTCGATAAAAAATATGGAAGACGTTTGGCTTCCCAAATTGTATCATGCAAAACATTGATAGACGAACAAACGGTATGTAGTGTTGTAACAGGAGAATAACTTGGCTCTTGATGTTCAGGTCGAATTGAAATTCTTAGCACCTGATCACAAAGGATTTTACAATTATCAATTAGCTGTTAGGTCAGATTCTTATATGGATGGAGATTATTGTAAAGATTTAAAGGTTGGAAGCATCATTATTTAATAAGCATAAGTTTAATTTTTAAGATGGAGGTGAAGGAGGCTAAAGAAATAGTTTTACCCAAGTATGAAGACACTGAAGATGAAGAGGAAGTTCAAGCTGACAGCAGTGACGAAGAGTATACTGAGGGTGATGATTCCGAGGAAGATTAAACATATTCGTTTTTGCACGCAATTGTTTCTGTTAACTTTTAATTTATTCGAATCCTTCTGTGATTTTTAGTTTCATGTTTTCTATCAGTCTTTTTCACTGCTTAGTATTAATTTTATAAGGGGTATTTATTTACATTAATTTATAAAACTCTTAACATTCACTGTCTAGGCGCACAATTATTGAGCATCGTTCTGAGCTGTCCGCTCTGATGGAGTCCAAAAAGATCTGAGTAGCCTGAAAAAAATAAGACAGACATCCGATTTTTCTGGGCTTGTTGCTGTTTCAAGTCAAGACATGACCGTTCTAGGTTTTACGATTGATCAGCTTAACTTATTTGTTTTCTTATCTATCTGTATCATAAGATTCTTAATAAAAAGAATATATACCGCCTATATGTTGTCCGCAGATGAATATGTATGGGAATGTGACTTGACCTGTGATCTGTTGCAGATCTACTTGCAGCTGCCTCTGCCAATCTTCATCCCCGACTAATTCTGCAGATATATACAAATTAAATTCTTCCTTTTCGTTATGTAGGAACCTAAGAAATGAGCAGCAACGTCGCTATAACTAACAGCCAATAAATGTTTTGCTCTCTGACAAGGAACACATTGAACCAATGTGTACATCATGATCGGATAACGACGAGCTTGTCGATCAATATAACCTATAAACTGTTTTTTTATTATTTAGAGATTTTCATAATCACCGGCATATGAATATCCTAATGGCGAAGAAGGATATCCTTGGTATGCTGTGTTCTGATTTCTGTTCATTATGGGCTGTACTTGATTGCGACCCTACAAGCAGTTGGGTGCATGGGAGATATATTATACACAAACCCTCATTCTTGCAACTCCTAATCCCATCCCATTGAAATTTCGGAAAGAAGGGGCGGTATCCGGATAGCCTCCATTCGGTAAAGGAAATTCTCCATTATAAAATTTTAAAAGATTACTTTTTATAATTTAGAACATCAAAAACTCACTGGATTCCCCATGTTTTCTGTATTTCGAATTAGCTGTGGATACCGCTTGACCCCAAAACGTGATCTACCAGGCAGTTCTAAATCAATTTTTTGTATTATCTTGCACAATGTGTACATTTTTATGCTATCGGAACACCGAGCTTTTATATTCTGATCGTCTTGCGGTTGCAAATTGAAGTAAAGTTCGTATAAATGACGTCTTCGTTAGAATTCATCCTCAAAAAGAACTTTCATTGTCTCTGCGTTCGGTACCGTCATCTATTCTTTTAAGATAAGACACGAGCCAGCTTCCAAACGGATAATGGTCTGTTTATCTTTCTTCATTTGACAGCTTCGCCAAGTGTTAGAAGAGACGTGTATCATCGTCAGAAGCTATTGCTCAACGGATTTATGAAGAAAAGAAACGGTTTCGATCGAAAAGGAAACTTCAAAATATATCCACTTCAATCGAATGAAAGCTTTGAATGACTAAGGTGTGAATAGCCATTTCAATTCAAACTTTAGTAAAAACATTTTCAGATCATGTTACAACTAAAGCTTGTTGGGAAATAGATCAATAGTATCAAAAGACGAACTCACCGAACTCTTCTGGTGCTGGAAGTGGCCGATTGCTCGGTACAGTGCCCATTCCCCAGATGTTACTATCATAGTCAGGATAATCATTCAGAGCAACAGACTTGTTTCCTGTTACTTTTGCTGACTTTGTCAAGTTCACAGCATAAATAGTGAAAACTTGGTAGAACAGAAGCAGTGTCAACATTATAAGAAGTAATAAGAATGTTGTAACGAGAACTTTCAATGGACCTCGATGCTTTATCACTGATTTACCTGCTACAACTGGCGGCTCTGCAAAAAACTGACCGCTAGCCGTAATTGTAGGATTTTTCTGGAGAAAAAAAGATTTTCAGTAGAAGTAAGATACACTCTGATGAAATAAAGAAAATTTGACAGGTATGGGTTATGAACGAATGAGTTAGGAAATCCTGTGTCAATGATGAGTAAATTGAAGCCTCTTCAATCACACCTTGGGGCGGGATCCGTACTGAAAAGGTAAACGAAAATCTATCCCTTTTAAATCTTTCTTTATTCTTCATCTGTCATACAGTCCATACAAGCTTTTGTTTGAATATCTGAGTAAGATGATACTTATGTACAAGGACATGTATCCTAGCTTGGGCAAAACAAAAACAAGAAAGTTTATATCCTTCGTTGCTACCATCAAAAAAATAAATTTTGCTTTCAACTTCCTCCCTCATAAGAGTTGATTTCTCGATTTTCAGATAGTGGGTTCTAAAGAGAAAGCTTATGAGTGTAAAGTATACTTGGGGCGTGATTTTTCATGGTCTCAACTCGTTTAATTGCTTGAAAATGGCCCTTTTAATGGTTCACTTTTTCCGGCTTCATATGATAAGATTACCCATGCATATAAAGTGCTTTTCTTTCAGGTGATCTCATTATTCTCATATCCGTAAATTACTAACTTAGCGTTTTCAGAGATGAAGCTTACTCTCTTTTTGGCGACAATCGCCGTGGCTTCTGCCGTCAACTGTCCGGCTGACACTGTTTATGATAACATTATGAACAGGCTCGTAATATGGTCCCTACTTATATTATTTCTCGTTCAGATGTTATGAGTTCGTTATAAGTGGTGTTGGATTCCAACAAGCTCAAGAATACTGCTTATCTCGTTCAGGAATTTTGGTATCTATCCACAATGGAACTGAGAATTTCTACCTTGCTGGTATGGAGTGTAGTTTAAGCTGATCAATATCGTTGTTATAGAATCTGGAAAACAACAGTTCTCTGGAAATAAGAACTATTGGATTGGATTATCTAACATTCCGGGTAAATGGAGCTGGACTGATGGATCATCTCTTACATACACAAGCTGGAGTGCTAGTGCTGTTATTCGGCTATGTTCATTTGTTAGCTTTTCCTGTTTAAGACGAACCTGGAAACAGCACCAACGTTTGCGCCTATTCTAACACCGTCACGGCTTCTTGGACACATGCTAACTGTGAAAATGTTTTGCCTTTCATTTGCTCGTATGATGCCAATCCAACAACACCACAAGCTCCTACCACAACTCATGGACCTAAGTGTCCATCAGATCAAACTTATAATTTAGCTACCGACTCATGTTACTACGTGAGTAACGTCAATTTCATTAACACATTGAGCCATTCTTGAAGGTTGGAACTAGTGCCGGTTTCTGGAGTGCGGAAAGCATGTGTGTCGCCCTCGGAGGTCACTTAACTTCAATTCACAGTAGTGCAGAGAACCTATTCGTTATGGGTATGATTCAATATTCCAATTTTCCTACAACAACCATATTTAGGTCTAACTTCTATTGGGGGAACTCGTAAAGCCGATGAAATGACATGGATTGGTCTTCATTACACAGTAAGTTGAAAATTACAGAGACCAGCGGATCGAAACTTTACAGGGAAAAGATTGGATTTGGTCTGATGGAACTGAAGTGACATACAGAAACTGGGAACCAGGAATGCCCTCAGATGTTAAAAGTGATCAATGTGTAGAGGTTGCCAAAAGTTCTAATCACGACAGTAGTTAATGCATAACTTTAGCTTCTCCAAGATGACTACAGCAAAAAGAAGAACGTAAAAGGTACTTGGAATAATCAACCTTGCAATTGGAACATGAGGAAGTTCGTTTGTAAAGTAAAAACTCTCTGGTAGATCAACTCGTTTATCTGATGCTTTTAATAAATATTCTCTAATATCTCTCTTCTATTTAATGATCAAACACATTCAAAAACGTTTTAATCGGTGTATCATATCATACCATGATATCAGAAATAATCTTATCAGTGAATCTTCCGCCCGCCTTAACGCCAAAAAATGAATGCTAATATTATTGATTGAAGGAATGACCCATTTGGTCCCGCAACGACATTATCGCTTGGGCAACAGCGGGCATGTAATCGTTGTCGACCGCGTTTAGCGTGCGACACATATGTAAATTGTCTTAGCGTTTTTATTCTTATAAATTAATACTTTTGTTGTCTCTGAAAAATCGAAGTTAATTCTTTACTCTTACTCACAAACTTATAAAGTAAAACTTCAAAACATTATTTCCCTTGGAAATGAAAATAAGACGATTCGAAACTAGCGTCATTCTATCGATCACGAATGTGAGCATTTTTCAGGTAGAGGACCATGAGCGTTGATGCTATTCCAGGGGATATTGTTCCACAGGAAGAACAACAGGTATGAAAGAACACCTTTTTTTCTAGAAAGAACGCATGTTCTTTAGGATCGTAGCCCAGAAAATGAGAAGGAAGTAAGCCGCGAAAGTCGGTCTCGCTCGAAGTCTAAGTCAAGATCTAAATCGAAATCCAAGTCTAAGTCTAGATCTCGCTCTAGATCACGTTCACGTTCGAAATCACGCTCTCGATCTCGTTCACGTGATCGCAAGCGTTCACGCTCTCGCTCTCGCAGGTTTGATTTCTCCTTATCAATTATTACGTTACAGTCTAAATTATAGTAGATCAAGGAGCCGTGATCGTAGAAGACGCTCTCGTTCTCGCACTTATTCCCCTGTGCGAAAAGATCATAACGGAAGAGCAGTAGTTAGTGGAAGAATTCACGTTTCGGACTTCCCAGCCAGTTTGTCTAAAAGAGAATTAGAAAGAGCCTTTGAGTACGGTATCTCAACGAACTTCGTGAATGAAAGTTTGTTTTTTCAGGAGATTTGGAAGAATAGTTGATCTTTGGATGGCTACATACCCACCCTACTATGCGTTCATTACGTATAAACATCCAGATGATGCCGAAAAGGCCATAAAAAAGATGAACGATGAGTAAGGAGAACAAAGCAAAGGTCATTAGTACACCTGTCTTTTGCAGCTACATCTCAGGTCATCGCGTTCGAGTTGCTCATGCACTCCCAAAGCGTGAACCCCGATCATGGGGACGCGGAAGATATGGTGGTGGTCGAGGAGACTACGGAGGTGGCGGTGGCGGTTTCCGTCGGTAAGATAACTTTTATTGAGAAATTTGAAATTCTTGATGTTAACACACTATAATGAACAAATGCAATGGATACTTAATAGGCGAATGAAGTAATATCCTTGGTACTCATTGCTGCTTATTGATCATCGCGCGTGGTTTTTTGATCTTCCTACACACTACTCATCTCATCATAGAAACGGTACTGAGCCAACAGATGAAATTTAGATTGAGAGTTGATTACAATCTTGCCATATTTGTACGGAAACTGATTGTCTTTAAACCCCAGTGCTTTCCTACTAACACATCCTCAGAAAAATTAGCGCCCGACTTTCGCAGCTTATTATTTCTAGTTATGGTTGTTGTGTTTTGGAAAATGTGAGGATTTGGAATCAAACTGAACATTGGGGCTCTTGCATTGGCGAAGCAATATCTTGATGAATTTTGTGAACTTGTGTTCTTGGTTAATGAGGAAGTTCATGTTGAATTTTGATGATGATGAGGATCAAAATGATTGTTGATGTTGTTGTTGGTGGTTAAAACTTTGAAAATGGAAGGGTGCTTTGAGTTGAATTGGTTCTTTCAACTTGCGTAAGGTATTTTAGCATTTCTCTTTTAGTGTTCATTTCGTTTCCTAATAGCTTTTAGTTTCAGGCGCCGTAGCTTCAGCAGAAGCCCCCGTCGCAGGTAAGATTTTTCTGAGCTCATCTCAAATGAATTTGTTTCCTTTTTTAGATCTCGTTCTCGTAGCAGATCTCGTGATAGAAGACGTGAGCGTAGCCGAAGCAGATCTCGTGATCGTCGGGAAAAATCGAGAGATGTTAGCCGTTCTCGGTCTCGCAGCAGATCACCTTAAGCTTCGTATTTAATGTCATTTTTAATTTCAGTATTTATATTATTCAGTCTATTATTATACTATTGTATTGTAAATCTATTCCTGAGTATCAATCAAGAACTTGAATTACTTTTCTCAATAGAAATAAAACTCTGCGCGCTTTACTGTTCAAGTAGTTCTGGTGTCGTCATGCCTTTTCATATTTGAGAAACAGTTTTTGGGTTTCGGCAAAAAAACAACATTGCAGATGAAGAAAAGACACAAAAGCGATTATCATCTTCTCGTTGCTCAGAATTTTCTCTCTAATATAAGTCGTTCCGGAACCCATGATGATACGAACTTGAAGATCTTCAATGCAACAAAGCAAAGGGTGATGGGTTCAAGGAATACAACGTTTAACGTTTAATTGCAGACCGGTGACGGGGTTGACAGCCTAGCACAGTCTTCTAGCTCTCTAGGGAATAATAAGAAAAATGTGAGAGGGTGTGATCATAAACAAGTTACAAAGTTTCATTGCAGGCCAACCATTTGGTCATGCAATGTCAGAGAAATCTGCGAGCTCAGTATTCGGAGGTCATTCAAGTGCCTTGTATTTTCTGAGAATTTGATCTTTTAGGGTTTCTATGATAGCATGATCGCCGCGGAAGCGCGATGTCTTAATAAGAAGAAACCGTCCCTGTTTCAAAGATTCATAAAAATAATAAGTATTGACGAATTCTTCAGTTTTCGTAGTGGTTCGTCAGATTCAAATTCTGCCACAAGTGATTGCTCAGAGAGTCCGTTTTCTCTTTACTTTTTAAGCAAAAATAAGGTTTTGAAGGTGAACATTATGGATCGATAACTTCGCTAGAAGCTTTTGAAAACATCAAACCGTTTCGCACAAACTTACCACGGTGTAACAGGTTACGTAGATTGGACAATGGGGGTTTTGAAGTGTTACTTCTTCAGGGATTATCTTTGTGATGTCGAGTCGGAGATTCCTTTAGTTGTCACCTCTCACTTCCGTTTCCGCAGTGATGATAAGAAACGTTTCAAACGTTCGCGGTCCCTTCTTTTTCTTGGTGACCGCAAGAGGAATGTTAGCAGCTGTTCCTATGAAGAAATCAAGCCTTATACGTTTGCTACTGGCCGACACGTATGAATGTACTACTAATCACTTATCAAATCTTTTTTTTAACAGGAGAAAACCGAGTATTCCTTCTCCGATCTACTGCGTAGAAAACGAGCTACAGTTCCAGCTAGTGTCTTTGCACTTCGTCAATCTGCTCGAAGAGTATCCATTTTTGAAAAAAAAAGCAAGAACTTCATTTCTTCAGGATAGCACAAACAGAAACTCGACTTGTCGTTCTTATTCTCAGGACTTCCTGGAAGCTGCTTTGTATTCAAACATTCATGACAATTCAGGTAGCCTTTTCTGCTGGACCATTTCTTATCTTGTTATAGAAACTTTGGAATGGAATGAAGTTCCAACAGATTCTTATAATCCGCGAGCTTTAGAAGAAGTCGACCAAATGAGAAAAACTATCATAAAGTGTCCGGGCTTCGTGGTAATGTTTATCTTATTTTCTCTATCTAAACTTGGTGTCATACAGGGAGTTTTCTATCATTATTTGCCTGAAAGTGAAATGAAAAGTGTTCTAAACAATAAGTTCACAGAAAAGTTTCCTAACGTGAATCTAACTTATAGCAAGTTCAGAAGGTAATCCATGCTTTTCTCCTTCTTTTCAATTGTGTTTCTTAGCATCAAGACGGAAATGGTTAGCATTGCTCGAGATTGTGATGTTGATTTAATGACTATTTCTCAGGGGATAGTTTTCTTTGAAAGAATTGTAGCTAAGGTTCTTCACATATTCTTTTTTTCTTTTTGAAGTTTAATATACAGGGGGCGATTTCGAAGCATAACAGAAAAATGGTTGCTGGAGCATCGCTGTTAGTGGCGATGAAGCTGCACGACTATACCAAAGAAGCCATTAAGAAGATGATCCAAGTATTTTACTTCCACAAAATCGTTATCATCATTAATACTAATTTCAGAACACTGTGGAAAGACTTCGTATTTCAAGAAAAGAGCTTTTAGCTTTAGAAATTCCTCTATGCGTAGGATTACAATTTGATTTGTACTCACCACCAGATCACATCCTTCCACATTTCCAAAAATATCAATTTCAATATGTTTAATAATTATATTACGGTTGAGAGTGCCATTTGTACATAAAATAATTTATTCGCTCTATTTCTCCATTAAAATTGGTTATCACCACTTCCTTTATCTTTCAATCCAAATTTCGCTTCTCATTAGTTTATTTCTTTCTAGATGGGAGATTTCGATCACTTCTACAGAGACGTGAGTGTGTTTCAAAGAAGCTGCGAGTGATAATTACTTTACAGATCAAAGAAACTGAAAAAGAGGATGCTGTTTTAACACCCAAAGATCAAATGGATCGTCTCTTGCGACCTGGATCAACGTATTTAAATCTCAATCCTTTTGAGGTATACAAGAAGTAGCATTCCTTCTTTTCATTCTTGTAGGTGTTGCAAATCGACCCGGAAACAGACATCGAAATAGCCAAGAAAAAGTACAGAAAGCTTTCTCTACTTGTTCACCCCGATAAAAATCCTGATGACCGAGATCGAGCGGATATGGCTTTCGGAAGTTTGTGCACTTGTCGAAAGTTGATACATTTGTTGTTACAGTATTGAAAAAGGCCATTGAAACTCTCGAGAACCCTATTGATATGAATCGATGCAAGGATTGTTATACAGAGGGCAGAGCTCGTTTAGCTATAGCGGTGAGATTACGAATTTCGTTCCGTTCTTGATATCATACTTAGATGTCTGAAAAAAGAAGGAAAAACAAGAAAGAAGGAAAAGGAGAAGACATTGAAGAAGATGATGCAGCTTGTTATAAGAAGCAACTTTGGATATATGTCACAAAGGTGTTCGCTGAAAGAGAGAAGAAGAGAAAAACTCTCGAAGATCGAGCCAACGAAGAGAAGTAGTTGTTCTAATACTTGTTTTTGACTCATATCACTTGTTCAGGAGAGTGGCTGCCGAAGCAATGGCAGCAACTGCAGAAAAAAGAAAATTAGCAGAAGAGTTTGCTAAGAATTATGAAGTTTGTTTTTGATCTGATATACTGATAATACAGATATGATATTAGGAATCTCGTGATGAGCGCTCAGGAAGCTGGCGTAACTTCCAAGCCAAAAAAGCTAAAAAGGAGGAGAAAGGCAAAACGATGCCCGGAGCTGCTTTTAGGCCACCTAAACAAAAACTGTTCCGTTGATTGATCTCTCAAAAGCGCGGTATATAATTTATTGCACGATGTTACTGTAGTTTCTTTTTACAGACGAATTTACTGATGACGTCGTCGCACTTCAAGTTGTCCCACAATCCTATGTAAAAAGAACTTGCTGCGTATTTATCTTGGATTAACTAAAACGAATTATGTTATGGATTTCTTGTCTAACCACTTACTGTGGCACAAGATAACTTTGCTGATCGTATTGGTCGGGAAATCATCCAATTAGTGTATTTAAATTCGGATCCATCAGTCCAGAACCATCGATCCTTAAAATAAAAGTTCTTGTCGTTATTATCATTGTTTTCGGACTTCTGAGTAGTGCGCTCCTATCCAAGTCATATCGTATTCTGTTGCATTTTGTGCACCAGTAGTTGCTATCGCTAATATAATAGTGACGAGATTTTTTTTCACAATACTAAAACTCACAAACAATGAACATATTTTCGAACCCATCCTCAATAGAAGCCAGATGCCCACCAATTGCCGTGCAGAAATTTTCTGCACTCCAAAAGGATGTGGATGTTCCCACCTATTTTATATTTCTGTGCTTCATAATATTGACCTACGTAATAACAATAAGAAGTTGATGGATCGAAGTGTGTGTATGGATGTGGGCATAGAGGTTTGGGTGTTGATGTAGGAGCGACTGTCGTTGGAATCATATTCGTTGAACACACACATGGCTAAAATCAAGAGGAGAAATGGCAGCGATCCTAATTTCTCACTAATGTCTTGAAACAGTTCACTGATAACCATTTATTTTTAGATGATTCTACGCAACTGTCCATTGATTGAGTAGGCTGCCCTGGGCGAGAAAACTATAGTTTGAAGAAAAGAAGCAAAACCTGCTCCCCAAGCTGTAAAATTGACTTGGCTGTTATCATCCCAATTCCAAAATCCTCCGAAGCTATTCAGCCCTATCCAGAACTCATTGTGACCACCCTGGTTTTGCAACCATTCTTAACACATAGGTTTGAAGAGGGCTCATTTCTCGGACTAACTATTGACGTATTCGTTTTCTGCTGTTGAATGTATCGAAGCGAGAAATCCTCCATAAGAACGGCACATACTATCCGCTTTTTGATAAGCTTGTGGTATACTGAGGAGTTTGTAGCATCTACGTTTTTTAATGACAGCTTCATGTGGTTGGACTCACTTTTGAAACTCTTCATTAAAACTGTATTGATTAGGACAAGGATCGCTCTCAACCAACGTGGTCAAGAGAATAATGAAGAGTAGAATGGAGCTATGGAATAAACGATAGATTTTCATTATTCTTGAACATCGAATCTGAAACTATGAGAGGAGATGATAGTGATAAGAACAGTTCTAGATAATAAGATAATTGCATTTTGATGCTTCATTCGAGGTGGTCGCTATTCCGAAGACATAATGACGTTTTAAATGAGCAGGTTTAATGACGAAATTCTGTAGTTAGCTTGTTTCATATCGGAAAAAATTTGCAAGAATATATACATTTTCCTAGGTTGGAATCTTCCTTGTTTGTTGGAACCCTCGTTTCGTGATCATTCTCTGAGCCAAGTGATTGCTGAACACTTTCACCTTGTTAAGCTACTTTACCCCCACAACTGAAAATCCGAGAAAAAATTGAAACAATAACTTTGCACAAGTGCGCAAAAAAATGTTTTCCAAATGTACAGAAACCATCAAGTACATCTATGATCGTTCGTCAAAGTTTGTAGTCTGATAAAACTTCATCAATAATACGTCTGCCATCTAAGGCAAGAGAAACCTCTGAAAAAGTCAAAACGATCGAAGTTCCAAATATATTGTGTTTTTTTGGATTGTTTTGTGCAACATTGTGCGCCACAAATAACAATTTTCGCCAATGGATGGATACGTGATTTCATCTTTGATGAGCTTTCGAATAATTCCTGCGGATTTGAATTAAAAATTTTTTTGTTTCAGACCTTTCTCTGTTCCTTAGATTAGATGCTTTTCCTTTTTTTGCTCAGTCAGTTTCAACTTATTCCTTATAACGTTTCGATGTCCTCATTGTGAAACAATGATCATTGGTTCTTGTGTTTATTTCTTTCTTTCAATGCTGATATTCCAATCTTCTAGTTGTATATACTCATTTATCCATTCTTGCTTGCAGATGAACTGTGATCGTTGCTACACTTCATTCGTACATGATCGTACAACGGTCTCCATTGAATGATGCTGGCTTGGTATGTCTATCGTTCATTCAAATTACTCAAGACCTTCTGCTTCCAAGATCATCGGAAATGAGTTGAAAGGAG